GGTCACAATGTTGAAAATGATGATCGTCGTCGCGGTTCATATGCTTGTGGCCCAACATAGAAAGATCTTCAATACAATACAACTGGCAGTGATCCGTAGGCCACTTGCTTATCTTCTGTAGGTCACATTAAGCCCTCAGACCGCCAGTTGAATAGACCTGGTAAAACATGTCCGATTTCAGATAACCTCAATTAATCGCCTTTTAAAAATTATATTATTTGCCATTTACGATATGCTTGGTAATGGCTAATCTCTCTCTCTCTCTCTCTCTCTCTCTCTCTCTCTCTCTCTCTCTCTCTCTCTCTCTCTCTCTCTCTCTCTCTCTCTCTCCCTCTTTCTATCTTCCTCTCTCAACCCAACCCCTGCAAAACCTATTTGCGGCTCCGAAAGCTACACGGGTAACCTGGTAATCTGGTAATCTTAGTTTCAGCTTCATAGCAAACGGATCACCCCATAGTTGCTCCGCTCCTGTGCCAACGAAAAACACAGAATGTATATCACAGTACCTTGTTGAAAGATTGACAGACTGCTGTCTCAGCATATGCACTAGTATAAACACGCATTAAAAGCCTACGGTAGCTATCCGAAGTGCTAACACAAACAGTCCGACATTAGAAATGCAGTTCATCATGGATGGTAGCAGTAGTCACCAACAGATCAGCAGTTGCACACGAAATCAATTTTAATCACATAATGGCACCACGAATATTGCGACAACAGGCATCTCGCCATTTTCTGAATCTACAATTCACACAACCACTTTGGTCACAGTAGAAAAACAACCCAAATGAAATAAACAGCTCACAGTGTCACGCCATGCACTCAACTCAGAAGCTGGGTGATGAAACTGCAAAAATGCACATGCTACCTTCTGTCAGTAGCAAAAAGAAATTCGCCACGACTCACTGGTCGTGCCTGGCATCCATTTTGACCGGAAGTAGTGAGGGTTTATTAACGGTCACCCCAGTGGTGCCCTCGTGCTGGGGAAGGGGCCAGGGGCGTAAAGCCCATCAGCAAGGTGTCGCCCCTTTACGACCTGGCTGCCTTAGTTAACGATTGTGCACCGCCATAACCGTGCAGTTCTTTGGCAGAAAGCAGACACCTTCAACTTGGGTTCTGGACTACCGACTTTCTACATGCTCACACGCATGTGCTAATGGTGTACAAAAGTTATCATGTTTCTCTCAAATACCATTAGCCTTATGTTCCAGCATACATTTATAAATAAAATCTATTATTATCCAACACTGAGATTGGTTATACAAGAAGCTCCTTTTTTTTTGCGTTCGGTTTCGTATGCTCAGATCAGACCATCAGGTGGATTGGGTTGCCTCTATGAACTCGCATGTCAGTAACGGGCCCTTATTGGTTCCCCAGAGCTTGATTTGCACACCGGGCTCTTGAGGCCTGGTGACTTCGAAGTTGCATGTAGAGTGGGCAGGTCTGCAGAATGTGCTCAGGTGTTTGTGGTCCTGTTTGACAGGCACACCGTGAGGACTGTGCAATCTGTATTTTATGCATGTGGTAGTTGAGCCTGCAGTGTCCTCTTCGTATACAATGAGCTTCACTTTGTTTGCAGGCAATTTCCAAGCGTGTCAGCTTTTTTCTCCTCTACTGGAGAAACGATACAACGAAAAGATGACGGCTGATAAGAATAAGTAAGTTGTGATTACTACGGATATAATGGTGGTTGCGATTGTCATTGTTAAGATTATTGATGTTGTTGTGATTGTTATCACTGTTGTGGTAATTTATGTAGTTTTATCACTGTTGTCGGAATATTGTTGTTATTGTTGTGGCTGTACAGGTTTTAATTGTTAGCGCTGTTGTTATTTCTGTAGCTTTATCTCTGTTGTTGGGATTATTGCTGTTACTGTTGTGGATGTACGGGTGGTGATTTTGTTGTTATTTTTGGTTGCTATTGTTATTGTCATTTTCATTCTGGCAATTATTGCAGCTGTTTTGTTTGTTATTAGTGTGACTGTTATGGTTTTTGTTTTGCTTGTTATTGTTATTATTGATATTGTTGTGGATGTTGTTGTTTTATTGTCAGCGTCATTGTTTTATTGTTTGTTGATGTTGCAGTTGTGATCGTTAGTGTTGTTATAAGTGTAATTGTTTTGACTGATCTGGTGATTAGTATTAATTTCGTTGTTATATGTATTGTTGTTGTTGTTATAAATGTTGTGGTAGTTATTTTTGCTATGATTGTTGCGGCTATTATTCTTGTTACAGGTAATCGTGAGGTTGTCATTGCTCTTGCTATTACAAATGATATTGTAGTGTTTATATTATTATTATTGCTACTCTTGTTATTATTGCTGATAATATTTATTTATGAACGATCATTATTTGCGTATTATTGTCTCTGTTAAGTTGTGTCATATTTCATGACCATTGATAACCCTTAATTCCCCTCAGCTGACACAACAGCACGAAGACTTGACCCCAACAAATACTGTTATCGTGATATCGAACAAAATGAGAACCTAAAAGTCAACAATATCAAGTATCAACTGACCCCAATTTTCAAACACCCGGCCATCCTAGTAGAGTTGAAAAAGACAAATTATAAATGCAGTCTTCACACTTTCACTGTGCTGTTATCAATGTCAGACATGGACATTGACTTAAGAGCACGAAAGAAAACCTCCTGCGAAATGAGATAATAGAGAAAGGACGTGAACAAAACTAGAAAATATCATTTAACAAACAAAGAAATTACAAGAGCTACTACTACTTACTTATTTACTGCTGATGCTGCTGCTGCTGCTGCTACTACTACTACTACTTCTTCTTCTTCTTCTTCTTCTTTTTCTTCTTCTTCCTTTTCTTCTTCTTCTTCTTCTTCTTCTTCTTCTTCTTCTTCTTCTTCTTCTTCTTCTTCTTCTTCTTCTTCTTCTTCTTCTTCTTCTTCTTCTTCTTCTTCTTCTTCTTCTTCTTCTTCTTCTTCTTCTTCTTTGCTCACTGGCTGTAAGCTTTGAAAGAAATTCCTGGTTGTTCGTCAATTGCACTTTTGTTTTGTGTCCAGGCCTGAGCTTTTTGTGTACATCTGTTTAACTGGCAGATGCTCTCTGACATCGAAAGAAGCTCTCGATTAGTTGACAGTTACAACATGCTTGTTGGGGAGATAGTGGGTCTATTATTGTTTCTCCCAAAATGGGGCTCTGGAACACACACGGGAGGGGGAAGAGGAATTAAAATTACAATAAAAAGAACTCCACAGTGGAGCTTGCACAGCAGGGGTCCACCGTCATCAATAGAAAGATCCATCGTCGACGATTGTTTCAACCTGGTCAATGACTTCAGGCCTCGATCTTCCCTTGTTGCACTTAACTGGACTCTCGGACAGAGACAAGACGATATGGTGACTTTGCAACCTGTATTGTGAGATATCGTGTTATATTTGACGCTACGGTAGCAAATTAACCGTCTACCTTCACGACCAGAGTGAGAAGTGTATGGCTGGTTCACCGCACGATTGTTAGACATTAGATTTGGCAGACAGACACTGGCAGACATTTATCGGACACTTTGGCTTTATAGGAATGAAAATTTCTTTTCCACTAAGGGTAGCCCCTAGTCTACAGAGGCCTATCCCCAAAAAAAGTTCCGTTGCGTCCAAAGCATGCTTGAAGCTTTTTCAGCAGCATCATGAAAATGAATCGAATGATGCAAGCAAGGACAGCGAACAACGGAAAACTGGAAATCCCAAGAGGTACGGGACGACCAAGAAAGAGATGGATTAAAGAAGAAACTGATACCTCGAGACTCCACAACATCACAGCCTGTCTGCCAGTGGAGCAAGTACTAGTTGGGAAAGCAGTCATTTTTTAATCTGCGACGCATAGCGGCACATAAAATGGACGATGCCACCAGTGGCACAAGTGGCTATTGTCAAAAGCTCACGGGCCTAAAAGTAATACCTGCAAGATTAGACATGATTAAGAAAGCCACCAACTTAACAATGAGCGTGAATGGGAAATGATACTATCAAACAAACTGTGGCAACACCACTTTGCATCAAATTCAGTGAGAAGCAAAAGATCAAATGTTTCTGTCATCTTGCCTAATACAGCCACAGCTACCAGAGGTTTGAGGTTTGAATAACGAATCAACATCATGGCACACGGGTAGTAGCCCATAAGTGCTCCGCTTTTCTTCTAATTTTGCCTGGGCAGCTCCGTTAGGATACTCTTTTCGATTTTCGGGTGCCAGGGGATTTTTTTAAGTGCGCAACGATGCACACAGGCGTCCGATCTCACTACCCAAAGACGGGGGGGGGGGGGGGGGGGGGGGGGGGGGGGGGGGGGGACTACTAGAAGTCCAAGTCCACGTGAAAAAATCCCAGCGCTTACTGGGGATTGAAACTGAAACCTATAACACTCGAAGCAGACACCATGCCTCCAGACCACTCAACCCATCTCCACAACTACCATCACTGGCACATTACATTAACAGATTTGCCATGAAAGCTACAGTGCGCCAAATAAGAAAAAAGGCTTAGTGACATAAAAGACATTATACACGGAATAATAACAACTAGTGTTACGCATCGACCTAGAGACCGCAGACTGTGCCTCCAGACGATGGAACTGTAATATGACAGTGGTGATTGTTACACACACATGCAAACACACACATTTACATGCAAGTATGTCGTGGCAACACAGTCCTTAAATCCCATGCTCAAATTGTGGACAACTTTTCCTAACAAGGTCGGGTCTTGCTAGTCACCCTCGCCATCGTCACGCGCCATGCCTCCCCATAGCTTAGTATAACACTAACGTCTGGAAATGAGGAAAGGCACCAACACGCCCACTCTCTCACACACTTACACATACACACACATAACCACAAATATGTGTCTCTATGTGGTTAGTATAATAATAAACATAATAACTACATTAAATGGCTTCACGAACACGGTTATGTCTTTGTTACTGCTGCGTTTTTCTTGTGTTTTCGCCGTGTTACTGCTGTGTTGTTGATACTGACAGATCTAAAAACATGATGTACCACATACAAACCATGAGGGACGAGATCGCCAGAAACGAGGACGTGATCAACCAGACGACAACCTTGGCCTTCGAGAAGAGTACTTGGTGGTTCGACAACATGACCTCATTCCTGAACTTGTTGTTTGAGATTCAAACTGAGATGGCTACGGAAATCTTGATGTCCCTGGATCGTGAGTGTTGTAGTGACGTTGCAGTAGTAGTGGTGACTGTATAAGTATTGGAAGTAGGCCAATTAAAGTTCACCTTTGTATAGCAACGCAAATCTATTAAGAAGTCTTTATTAACCAAATTGATGCTACCAGTGTCAAACTTTGACGCTTTCTAAAACTATTGACCTTAAATTAATAAAAATAGAGATCAGTGAAAAAACACGAAGACGACTTGGCCCGAAACCATTCACAATATCTTCTTATTTTTCTTTGCGTTCACGGGCTGTAACTGCAAACTGCATAGTTCTGGTTGTTCGTACACATCCGGACTTTATCCTAGTTCCAGAACCTGATTGGTGCGTGTACATCTGTTTTACTAATCTGACCTATTTGTGTGCAGACTGTTGGTTGCTTGCCTCTCAGGCAGTTAAACTGCAACTTCGAAGAATGCCCTTCAGGTAGTCGACTCCTACAAATGCTTGTTGAGGAGGAAGTGGGTCTATTCTTGTTTCCGCCCAGGCCTACCAGACAATGGGGCTCCGGAATCCACAGGATGACCTAAGAGCAACAGCTGAAATATTCTGGTCAACCGAGGAGAGAATGTCCTGGTACCAGCTACAAAATGTCACACTGAAGGAAAAGTATAATGAACACAGAACAATGAGAAGACCACTCAGAAGATGAACGAGGTCACCAAGGACAGGCATAGATTCAGCCCCAAATGAAGATAAACGTATACAACGCTTGGGAAGAAGGCACAGAAGGTCCATACACATTCCTCCAACACTTCGATGAAGTGGAAGAAGTAAAGAAGAAGAAAAAGAAAAAGAAAAAGAGAAGAAGAAGAAGAAGAAAAAGAAGAAGAAGAAGAAGAAAAAGAAGAAAAAGAAGAAGAAGAAGAAGAAGAAGAAGAAGAAGAAGAAGAAGAAGAAGATTAAGAAGAAGAAAAAGAAAAAGAAGAAAAGAGGAAGAGGAAGAAGCAGAAGCAACAGCAGCAGCAGCAGACGCAGTGGCAGCAGTGGTACTGGTGGTTGTAGTGGTGATGGTAGTAGTTGAAGCATTAGCTTTAGCTGAAGAAGTAGTGGTAGTAATAGAAGTAGTAATATCAGTAGTAGTAGTTGTAGAGGGCAAAGAAGTTTTCCTGTGAATTTATATATATAGCAATAGCAGACCACAAACAATAACAAATTAGCAATAGCAGACCGACAACAATACCAACAACTATAACTAATTGGTGTGTATGTATTTATGAGAAGACAGACAGGCAGATAGGACATGACAGACAGACAGGACATGACAGACAGATAGACAGACAGATAAGACACAGATGAGAGAGAAGAACATAAAAAGAGAAGACAGACAGAGAAAAAGCGAGAGGCGAGAGAGAGAGAGAGAAATAGAGAGAGAGAGAGAGAGAGAGAGAGAGAGAGAGAGAGAGAGAGAGAGAGAGAGAGAGAGAGAGAGAGAGAGAGAGAGAGAAAGCTAAACTATAACTAATTGGTGTGAATGTGGTTATGAGAAGACAGACAGACAGACAGGACATGACAGACAGACAGGACATGACAGACAGATAGACAGACAGATAAGACACAGATGAAGGAGAAGAACATAAAAAGAGAAGACAGAGAAAAAGCGAGAGACGAGAGAGCGAGAAAGAGAAAGAGAAAAAGAGAGAAAGAGAGAGAGAGAGAGAGAGAGAGAGAGGAGAGAGAGAGAGAGAGAGAGAGAGAGAGAGAGAGAGAGAGAGAGAGAGAGAGCTAAACAAGTTGAAATTAAAAGCAATGCAGTACTTCTGACGTCTTTCAGTGTCTGTGCACATGGTGGCCGAGGAGATCTCACTCAGCATTACACTTGTGTGTGTCTTCGTTCTGCTCTCTCCGGTCATCATCATCTCAGTCAGGGCTCTGCTCATGGACATTCAGGTGGGTTTTGGCTTTACTCAAGGACATTCAGGTGGATTTTGGTTTTACTCAAGGACATTCAGGTGGGTTTTGGCTTTACTCAAGGACATTCAGGTGGGTTTTGGCTTTACTCAAGGACATTCAGGTGGATTTTGGTGTTACTCAAGGACATTCAGGTGGTATGGGTTTTACTCAAGGACAGTCAGGTGTGTTTTGGTTTTACTCAAGGACATTCAGGTGGATTTTCGTTATACTCATGGACATCTATTGGTTTGTGGTTCTCCTGATGGACATCCAATGCTACTCGTTTATATCTAGGTGGGTTTGGCTTCTATTTATGGACATTCAGTGTGTTTTGATTCTGTTTATGGACATTCAGGTGGGTTTGGCTTCTATTTATGGACATTCAATGTGTTTTGATTCTGCTCATGGACATTCAGGTGGGTTTAGCTTCTATTTATGGACATTCAGTGTGTTTTGATTCTGCTCATAGACATTCAGGTGGGTTTAGCTTCTATTTATGGACATTCAGTGTGTTTTGATTCTGCTCATGGACATTCAGGTGGGTTTAGCTTCTATTTATAGACATTTAGTGTGTTTTGATTCTGCTTATAGATATGAAGGTAGGTTTGGCTTCTATATATGGACATTCAGTGTGTTTTGATTCTGCTCATGGACATTCGGGTGTATTTAGCTTCTATTTATGGACATTCAGTGTGTTTTGATTCTGCTCATGGATATGAAGGTAGATTTGGCTTCTATTCGTGGACCTTCAGGTGGGACTAGGCTCCACTCATGGACATCCAATTGATTTTGATTCTACTTATGGACATCCAGGTGGGTTTGATTCTACTCATGGACATTCAGGTTTGTTTTGAGTTCTACTCATGGACATCCAGGTGGGTGTTGGTTTTACTCATGGACATCCATGTGGGTGTTGGTTCTACTCATGGACATCCAGGTGGGTGTTGGTTCTACTCATGGGCATCCAGGTTGGTTTGAATTCTACTCATGGACATCCAGGTGGGTGTTGGTTCTACTCATGGACATCCAGGTTGGTTTGAATTCTACTTATGGACATCCAGGTGGGTATTGGTTCCACTTATGGACATCCAGGTTGGTTTGAATTCTACTTATAGACATCCAGGTGGGTGTTGGTTCCACTTATGGACATCCAGGTGGGTATTGGTTCCACTTATGGACATCCAGGTTGGTTTGAATTCTACTTATGGACATCCAGGTGGGTGTTGGTTCCACTTATGGACATCCAGGTGGGTGTTGGTTCTACTTATGGACATCCAGGTGGGTGTTGGTTCTACTCATGGACATCCAGGTTGGTTTGAATTCTACTTATGGACATCCAGGTGG